TCCAATGAAAGAAGATCACAAATGAGTTCACTCTGAAGTGACCCATGGGTATCAATGCGAGAAGTCTCTGCAAACTATTCACTCATGGCGACCGCCGCGCACACGCGTGTAGGAAATCGTTGATGATGATAGTGATAATGGAGTGGGGGCCAGTAATGCAGATACACTGCTGTGCATTCACTTGCTGCGAAAAGAAACTCTGTATGAATGAGTTGATATATAATGAGTTGTCCACAAACGAGACACTGCTATCAACGCTTGTATAAGTAAAAAGAAACGCTGCTATCGACACTTCCCCCAATACTAAAGTTGTCTTTAAACGAGTCACTGCCATGAACGGCTTCAACTACAGTGTAACGAAAGGAACTGCAGGCTGAGAAGCACCGCAGGCCAACGTGAACCAGTCGTGGTGATGAGGATGAGTGAAATCTGCGATGATGATAGCGATCATGAAGTCGGTTGTAGGAACCCACTTTTGTAGTAACCAACATACACTGGTATGCATTCACTTATGGTGAAAGGAAACTCGGTATCAGTGAGTTGATATAGAATGAGTTGTCCGCAAACGAGACACTGCTATCAACGCTTTTAGAACGAAGCGAACCCATCAGAACACTGTTATCAACGGAAAGAATGCTGTAGAAGGACAAAGCGCTGAATGTACACCGATGTGTTCGACGACTGCGTATGTAATGATGTGACGATATACAGACTGAGCCCTTCGTGAATGTCTACATGTTTTTCTGACGCCTACAAACGGCGCTGACGTGTGTGAGAAAATTGTCCGCGCAGCAAAAGCCGGCGAAGCGTGCGGGAGCTCGCATGCTGAGACAGACTACGTCTGCAGACCGCCAGCTGCAAAAGGTTGCGAGCGGCTCTTGGAAGATGTTTACGGAACGGAGCTACGGTGTCTGAAAACATTGGCATCGAAGCGAAGAGCCTCGGAGCCCTGCAGCCTGAGAAACACCGCAGGAACTCGCATACTGAAAAGGAATGCATTGCAAACCGCACGTTGCGAACCCTGCAGGCTGAGAAGCACCGCAGGATGTCGCATGCTGAAAAGCACTTGTACTGCAGAGCGCAGGCTGCGAAACCTGCAGGCTGAGAAGCACCGCAGGAACTCGCATGCTTTCGAACACTACTGCTCGAGACCGCAGCTGGAGAGCGGCAGACCGCAGGCTGAGAAGCACCGCGGGCAGGGAGACTTGCAAAACTCAGATGTCCTGATCGTCTTGGAGGAAGTCACGCCAGTCCGGCGGCTGCCAAGAATCGATGATGCGCCTGGAGCCACCGCCCGTGCTGCCGCCGATGTCCAGGTAGTCGCCATCGCCCCTGAACAGACGGCCGTGCCCCAACGCCAGAATCGCTTGGTTGCGGATTTGAAGCAGCGCTCCGCTCTCAAACATCTGCAACACGTCCAGCTGCCTGCGCGTGAAGTTCGGCTTTGGCTGGCCAGCCTGGGCAGACAGATGGAGGGAAAGCCGCTCCCCCTCGTTGTAGCGCGCGATGGCCTCGGCCTTCTGGTGGTGCAGCCGGCGCCGCTGTTGCCGCAGAGCTTCCTCGGGAACTGCTGCATCACGGCCCTCACTGTGATCAGCTTGCAACGCTTGCGTTAGCCAATCAACGTCGAAGCGCCCTGAGAAGGCCAGCACCTCCCAGATCTGTTTGGTACCGGCCACACGTTGCAAATGGCGATGCCACCGCTTACGCTTCTGGTCTTTCACAAACTTGGCGACGCTACCCAGACCTGCACCCTTGGCCTGGCCACCTTTTCCCGCAGGCTGAGAAGCACCGTGAGAACCTTTCTTACCGCCTGGCCCTTTGTTAGGACCCTGCGGAACCGCATGGCCCCCTTGTGGCGCAGACTTGCCTTTCGCTTTTCCCTTTTCGATATCCCGTTCCTGAAGCGCACGCTGCTGCCGCGACTGCTCGTACTGGTCGCGAGCTACTCTGACCAATTCCTGGCGCTCAGGCTCCGTGAGAACGTAGCGCATGTCGTCGATGTTCTTGCTCCGCAGAAAGTCATGTCGAAGCTTAAGGACAGAGAGAATGGCTCGGCCAGTCTCCTCCTGAGACGCAAAGGCCGTGTCATATTCCGAGCCAGGCTGAGGAGCGCCAGCTGGATTAGTGTCCGCTGGCTCCGTGGACTTCCTCTTTTTGAAAAGCAAGAGACTGAGATGATGGAGGACTTTCGGATCGTACTCCTCGTCGTACCTGTCGTCCCAAAGCTGCCTCAGCTCCCTGTGCAAGTCGTCCGCGCGATTCTGAACGACATCCTCGACGTAGTCGGGATCACCCGGTGAAGTCGGTGAAAGCGGAGGAGTAGAACTCGGCGACCGATCCCAATGCACAGAAGACTCGCGGTCCGCCTGTACGCTGACGTCGGCGTCGGAGACGTTTTCGACGACAATCTTCCGCCTCTTGCTCTCCCCAGGCTGAATAGCACCAGGGAGAGTGAGCACAACCGCCACCGCATCGTGTGCGTCGTTGCGCATGCCACGATCCGTAAAAGACGCGCCAACGGCAATGGAGCAGAAACGGGCGACTGCTCCGCAGACCGCGACGTGGTCGCCTTTGAGGTCGGCCGGAGTGGCATGGACCTCCCATACCTTCTCGTCGTTCTGCTGGCGCTGGTAAGCCTCCCGCGCCTCCTGGAAAGTGAGGTTGTCGTCGCCGACTACAAGCAGAACGACTGCCTGGTTTAGATTCTCAAGAATCTTGGCCAGGCCGTCCAGGTGCAAGCGGAGATGGCGAACTGTCCGCTTTCGAGTCTGGATGGTCGGCGGTTTCTTGCCGCACACGATGTGCATGTTGGCGATCACCACGTGGAACTTGTCATGGCCTGGTTTGTTCACCTCAAAATGTGAAATAACAGCATCAATCTCTCGGCCGCTAGGAGGCCTGTAAACTTTGCTGTAATCCAGAAACAGTTCCGCAGGCTGAGAAGCACCGCGGAACCCCCAGAGAGTCAAGTAGTTGTCGACCTCCGAGAAGCGAATGCCATCACCGAAAGGCTTACTGAGGATCTCTGTCACGTTGATCCCTGCTCGGCGAAAGCCTTCACGGAACGCACCGACCTCGCAGCCACAGACAATATCAGCATCAGCGGTCTCCACTATCGTGGCGCACAACCTTCCGAAGTTAGCGCAGTGAGTGGCCGCCTGCTTACCAGTCATCATGCCCTGCTCGAACCCGAAATTGAACGAGGCGACCGTGAAAGACGCAGGCTGCACAGCGCCAGAACCAGGCGTCTGTCCACCTTCCTCCGCAGGCTGAGAAGCACCGCGAGGCGGCGCAGGCTGAGAAGCACCGCGAGGCGGCGACACTTCGGACGAGCCTCGCGGAGCAGAGGCTGCGGATGAACGTTGGACATGGGGGTACGGCCAGGGGAACGCCATTGCAATCAAAACTCAGTGGTCTGCAGTGAATGAATGCAGTGGCACGATTGAATGCAGAGGACTGCAGTGTCACTAGCAAGTCCTGAACCAAACACAGCTGTGGCGGAAGGAGTATGAAGCGTCTGGCTATTCAAAATGTGGCCCGGGAATGGAGTTCTGGGAACTCGAAGACCAGGAAGTGGACTAGAGTTGGCTCCGGGCATCCAAAATGTGGCCCGGGAATGGAGTTCTGGGAAATGGAAGAGCACGAAGTGGCTTACAGTTGGCTCCGGGCATCCAAAATGTGGCCCGGGAATGGAGTTCTGGGAAATGGAAGAGCACGAAGTGGCCTACAGTTGGATCCGGCCCCCCAGAATGTGGCCCGGGAATGGAGTTCTGGGAAATAGAAGAGCACGAAGTGGCCTACAGTTGCATCCGGCCCCCCAGAATGTGGCCTGGGAATGGAGTTCTGGGAAGGCGAAGAGCACGAAGTGTGTGACTGTTGGTGAAAAACGAGCCCGGCTCACTGCCGCCCGGCAACTCCCAACACCTGCCCGGACCCCCCTGTGGAGTGATCTGTGAGCTCTTTTGATCCAACTAGAAACCTATCAGTCTTCGCTGTTAGGTAAAAAAAAAAAAAAAAAAACCTTTCTAAAACCTTCCTCAGGAAGGTTTCAGGAGGGGTTGGCCGAACTGCCGCACCCAACTGGTATAATGGGCAGCTAGAACGTACTGCGCGGGCTAATTAACGAATTGGGCCCCAAGCAATACTGGGAAAATCATGATTCCCGTCGACGCCGCTGTCCTCCTCCTCCTCCTCCTCCTCCTCCTCCTCCAGCTCCAGTCCTCCTCCTCCTCCTCCTCCTCCTCCTCCACATCCTCCTCCTCCCTTTCCCCCTTCTCCTCCTCCTCATCATCATCCTTCTTGTTCTCCTTGTGCGCAAAGGCCGAGCTGGAGACGCCCAGAGCGCGGGAGGACGACGGGGAGGGCGAGGAGGGAAGGACGAGGAGGGAGAGGACGGTTTTATTCCTAGCCGAGAGCTTAGGGGGGAGGCCCTAACATTCAAGACCTCCCTCGGGTACCCCCCCCCTTCCCTTTGCCCCCACTTTGAAGCAGTTTTTCGTCAGATTCTGGCAACTCTAGCTGTATGAAGGGGGAATGTGGGGAAGCGTGGCAAGGCCCGAAGGGACTCTGGACTCCACGCAAGTGGGGACTCCCTTGCACGCCTGTTCGGGCCAGCGCTGCTTGAAAAGAAGAGGCGACGGGAAAGGGGGTGAGGGGGGGGACGTCATACAAGTAAACTTGCTTGAATCCATAGAACAACGGCCAATTCGTCCGACCCGAATGGTCAGGGCGGTGCCAGGCGGGGTCAGGGGTGCCACTATGATAGCGCCGATCGGCACGAACAGCACCACGTCCCTGGCCGCCCGCAGCAGCACCGCCCGCTCTGTCTCGGACAGCGGGCTCTTGCAGGAGCGCGCCGCCAGCGAGAGGGCGAGAGCGAGGTCGTTGCCGAACATGGTGGTGCTGTCGACCAGCTCGCGGACCTCCCTCTTCGCCGCCTCCTTGGCCGCCGTCAGCCGACGCCGCACCCAGCCCGTGACGGCGGCGCCGCCCCGCGCGCGCGGCCGGGCCGGCGGCCCGGCGGGCGCCTCCCCGGCCGCGCGGGGCTCCAGCGAGAAGCGCTGCAGCGCCTCGTGGAGCTCCGTGAACTCGGCCAGCGTCAGGGCCCCGTCGGCGTCCCGGTCGCACTGGGCCATCAGCGCCACGACGTCCAGCAGGACGAAGCCTGAAGTCGGGCGTGTCCCCCTACAGGGGGATTTTCGATGGAAAAAAACAAATACCCCGAACATATTCCAGAATGGACCAAAAGTACTGGAAAAATAGGCCCCAGGCTATTTTTTTGTATTATTCCACACTCCTCCTGTAGAGGGACGAGCCCGACTTAAACCAAGCCTCCAGGGTGGTGCGGCCGCCGCAGCGTGCCGCCCCACGCCGCCCTCACCAGGCCGAGCGCCCTGCCGTAGGTGAGCGTGCCGCCGCCGTCCGCGTCGTGCTGCTCGAAGAGCTCCTGCGCCCGCCCCTGCGCGCCCGGCTCTGCCGCGCCGTCGTCCGGGCTGGAGGAGCGCGACCGCTCGAAGCTCAGCCAGTCGGCGTAGACCCGCTCCCGCTTCTTGGCGGCGATGGCGCGCCAGGCGCTCGCCAGCCTCCGGCGGTGCTTGCTGAATGCGGAGGGGATGCACGAGGGCACGTTCTTCCAGATGAGCACGATCGCCAAGATCTGGAGGAACAGCGTGGTGCGAGCAAAGTAGACGGCCGCGTACGGCACGAGGGTTAAGGCGTCTCTGCCAGCCCTGTTCAGCATGGCAGCGTCCATGTTTGACAGGGTCCTGCCCCTCGCAGCCCGGATGCCGAGGAAGAAAAACTCGATAACCATGAATCCTCGGAGGTCCGCGCGGATGGCTTTGATCGGCGCTGGGCTTTCCTTCCTGGGGCGCGGAGCGCGCCAAGGGCGGCGCCAGAGGCGCCGTGACAGGAGGGATCGGGACGCCGATCCAAAAAAGCGCACAGAGCTCCGAATGTTTATGTGTATGCCATTTTGCCTTCCTCGGAGACGGCCAGGCGGGCCCCATGCTGCACGTCGCGAGCCAAGATGGACAGGCCGTCCACCAGCTGCACCAGGCCCGCCCGCGCGACGGAGACGAAACTGCTGACGGCCTGCTGCTTCTGCCCGTCGGCCTGGAAGCTGGTCAGGTTGAGAAGCTCCTCGTTTGAAGAGGCCCACAAACACACAAATAAATACACACAAATAAAAAGATTCCCCATATTTTCCCATATTTTCTGAGTTTTTGTCTTCCCCACCACTTCCCATATTTTCCCATATTTTCCTGGGGATCGACGATTAATTGTGTCTGTGTGTTTCTTCCCCTCCTGATCCTCGTTGGTGTACGAGTTGACCACGTCTGCCAGGGTCTCCAGGAACTCAGAGAACTGGCCCAGCGTCATCAGACTGGTGCCCTTGCTGTCCAGGGCCACCATGAGAGAGGTCGCGTCCATGCGAACGTCGTCCATCCTCAGCATGGGCAGGCTGAGCCTGCCGTTCCAAACAGACTGGACGATGCTCAACACCTGCGTGTGAGTGACGCTGCCGGTGTCATGCTCATCCAGCTTCCTGAACAGCTCGTTGATCCCTGTCTTCCGCGCCGCGGAGTCGCCCGTGCCGAGCCCAAGGATGCCCGCCACGGCCTCGTCGACCTCCTCTGAGGGCCCCTCCCCGAACAACCACCACGCCTGGTACTCCGGGTGCTGCCGCACGGACCGCAGCGCGCCTGCCAATCGCAGCCTGGACCCGCCGAAGGACGACGGGCAGAGGTGGGGCGCGCAGGTCTTGACCAGGGCGAAGACGAAGGCGTGGCCGTACAGGGGAAGGGGCCACATCGCGACGGCGATGTGGGGCACGTAGGTCACCAGATCACTCGCGGCTCGCCTCAGCATCGAGACCTCCACCTCATCCATCTCCTCGCCGTCAAGCAGCTTGTTGAGCAGCCGGAACGTGTAACGTATGTCCTGGCTGAGCATGTCCATGCTGTCGGAGAGACCCAGCGCCGTGCGGCCGAGGATGCCCACCCCGTAGGGCACGGACAGCCGGGCACCGGAGACCGAATCGCCGACCCAATTCTGGAGCAGATAGCTGTGGAAGCCGCGACCTGCGCCCACCTCGGATGCCTCCGTGACGGCAGCGAAGAAGTCGATGAACTCGTCAAGCCCGACCCTCCCATCCTTGTCCAGGTCGAGGGAGATCAGCAGGGCGGCGGCGTCGTTCTCAGCGTCCTCGAGTACGCTCCCCGACAGCCTCAACTGCCCCGACCACAGCTGCCGCAGCAACGCCAGCACCTGGCCGTAGCCCAGCCTCTTGTCCTCGCCGGGGCTCTGGTCCTCGAAGAGCTTCGAGACCTGGGAGAACAACCGCTGATAACACACAACTTTGGGAGGTCCGCGCGAGTTTCCTCGCATCGGCGCTGGACCCCTTCCCCCAGCGCGCGGAGCGCGCCAGGGGCGGCACAGGCGCCGCCCAGGGGGCACAGCGCCGACTCCAGAAACCTGCGCTGGGCGTCAAAAGTAGGGAGCCCACAAAGGACGTACGCGCCCAGCTATGTACATGAACACTGCCCCTCGATCTGCGAGACCGGCCGCGTGATACGAACTTTCGGGCAATGCGTACTCTCGAAACCAGCGTGGATTCATGTACGTGTACGTCCTTCTTTCGCTCCTGAAAAAGTGTGAGGCCCTGCCCTCGTTTGCTCTTCGCGCACCCGCCGCCGCGCTCTGTCGCTGCGCGGCGCCTCGCGCAGCGCCTCCAGCAGCGGGGGCGTCTGCAGCAGCGAGTCGCGCAGCGCGCCGCCGCCCGCCGCTCTCGCCAGCGCCCACCGCGCGGCCCGCGCCCGCGCCCGCGCCCGCGAGCGCCCCGGCGGGGCCCTCGTCGCCCGCCCGGCGCCGGCGAAGGCGGCGGCGGCGGAGGCCGCGTCCTCCGCAGGAGGGCCCCGGGATCGAAACATGCATCGGCGGCGCGCACGAGCGGGGTAAGGGGGGAGGGGGGGGGAAAGAGGCTCCTCAGAAGGAGGCCGCTTCTCAGAAGGCGCCAGGCTTTGCATCTGTAGGTGCGGCCCGCGCCTTTCCAAGGAGCAGCCTCCTGCTAAGAAGCCTTCCCCCAAGTCGGACCCGCGATCGAGATGAAACGGATCGGCGGGAATCGGCGGCCAAGTCGGGAGAGAGGTCGGCTCGACGGAGGTCGGCAGGCTCTCTCTCTCTCTCTCTCTCTCTCTCTCTATATATATATATGCACACACACATATATAAAAATATATACATCTATATATATATATATATAATAGTAAGGCCCCCACATCGAGAAACCGAGGTCCAGGTCGGAATTCGAGTCCGAATCCAATCGGAATCAGAATCGACGAAGTCGGAATCGGGATCGAGCCGATTCGAACTCGACTCGAATCGAGTCGCGTGAGCCCTCCGCGGCCCCGCGACCGCGCAGCCCGAGCGGCGCGGGCAGGGCGGAGGCCGCCGCCCTGGCCCTGGCCCCGAGGCCGGCCCCATCGGGCTCGGCCTCGACGGCGCGGCGCGGGCACGGCGGGGGCGCTGCCAGAGCCCAGCGGAGGGCGGCCAGCTGCGGCATGGCCAGCCCGCAGCTCGAGCCGCGGCCCGGGCCGACACGAAGCAGACGGGGCAGGAGGAGGGCAGGAGGAGGAAGGCAGACGAGGAGGAAGAGGAGGAGGAGGAGGACCGTCTCAGGCAGTACCCCGTTTTCGTTTGTTGAGTTCTGTGGTGCAGCATGTCTGCTCTGCGCCGACTGGTGCAGGCAGGAGATGCTCGCGCGCGCGTGCGTGCCTGCAGCTGCTACCGTCGTTCCCCCTGTTCCATTCTACCTCGCCCCAACTCTGGGGCTTAGGACTCGACCCGTCCGCCTCTGGACCGGCCGGCCGACCGAGGAGGAGAAGGAGGACGGCGGAGCACGAGCACGAGCAGGAGAGCCGCAGGAGCACGGGTGCGGGAGCACGAGGAGCAGGAGGAGGACCCGCAGCAGCAGCCGCAGCAGGACCAGGAGCACGGAGGGCAGGACGGCCCGACGGCCTCGTCCAGCGAGTGGGATCCCGATCCTCGGCGGCGGCGGCGCTGGGGCCCAGAGCGGCCCGGGCCCGGCGAGGCCCGGGCGGGGCGCTGCGGCCGCCGAGTGCTCGCACGTGGCGCGCGGCGTGCCTGCTGCTCACCGCAGCGCCCCGCCCGCGCCCCCCTGCCAGAGGCCGCCCCTCGGGCGCTGCCGTGGCCGAGCCCGCCGACCCTTCGGCGTGTGGAAGGCGCCGCCGTCGTCGTCGTCGTCGTCGTCGTCGTCGTCGTCGTCGTCGCCGCCGTCGTCGTCGTCGTCGTCGTCGTCGTCGCCGCCAGTCCCGCAGAAACTGAGGAGCAAAGAAAAAAGCAACGCAACTATAAGTCGAAGGGAAGCCCCTTCCCGTGGATCCCCTCCCTGCCAGTGGGCGGTGGGGGGGAGGTCGCAGGTCAGAAGACCGCCCCCACCGGGTGACAGGGGGTCCCAGGGTGGTTGGGGGTCCTGGGGGAGGTCTCGCATTCAAGGTCGGCGGTACCGGCCGCAAGGCCTTCGCAACTCCCAGGAACGCAATCACAGAAACAACACGGTAATACTTTATCAGCGCTGGCCTAACGATGTCCCGAGAGTTCCGCACCCTCCCACCATGAATGGCTGTGGTAGGCTGACTGGGACAAGTGTCTACTGTGGGAATGTCATGCGCTGACGGGAAGATGGTTAAACGCCACCACATACTCTGTCAACGACCGATTCACAACGCAAGACCGCATGAGCCGGCCCACCTTGACCAAGCCTCCATGCTCGATCGGATAACCCATAATCTAGATGGGTGGCCTGGGCTTGCAAGTCTTTCATTTGCGAATGACTCCGCTTGTCACCCTGGATAGTTTGGCAATCTGACCGAAAACAGCTCGCGCTGGCTTTCTCTAAGCCTCCATGCTCGGTCGGATAACCCATAATCTAGATGGGTGGCCTATGCTTGCAAGTCTTTCGTTTGCGAATAACTCCAGCTTGTCCCCCTGGAGAGCTTCGCAATCTGGCCGAAAAAAGATCGCAGATCGCATTGGTTTTTCGATTGCCAGCGGTGTGGTCGACCCCGAGATCTGTCAAATCTTGGAGATTTCCTTGCGGAGCCCACGGAAGAGCTCTGGCCAGCTCTCTCCCCGGCGCTCGTAGCCAGTCTTGCCTGTGGCGCCACCGAAGCCGTCGGTAGAGCCTGGGCCCTGCGAGAAAGCCGAGTGTGCGTAGAGCTCGAACGTTGTGTCTGCTGCATCTTGCGATTTGGCCGCGGCTACTGCACAGGCCGCGACGTCGGCTCTGGAGACCAGGCCACCAACAGCGTCGCCCTGGTTCAGCTCCATCTCGGCAGGCCCCAAGTACTTCGTGTCCTCGAGCCCGCCAGGTCTGAGGACCACATACCTAGTGCCGCTGCCGCGCATAGCGGCCTTGACGCCCTCCTCGCCCCTGGCCTTCGCGTCCATAATGCCCCACGTTGGTCCTGGCATCCAGTTGGTAGCCAGATACCCGAGCGAACCAGGTCGTGACACACCGCCCGAAGAGATCAGCACGTACGTTGGCACACCAGCCAACTTGCATGCCTGCGCAGCTTTCACGGCGGCCTGCTCGTCCACCTGCGCGGCGTTGCCACCTTTGGCTGAGGCACTGCAGGCGAATATGACCGCTTGACAGCCTCGAACCGCTTCTGCGACCTGCTCCACAGACGCCTCCACCACGTCCAGCTCCGCCCTGCCGAGCGCCAGCGCTGGCGACCCCTCGGCACGCAGCGCCTCGACGCACAGCCTGCCCGTCTTGCCAGAGGCGCCCAGCACCGCGACGGCCCCGGGCGCGGGCGCCACCGCCGCCGACGCGCCGGCCGCGCTGCGCAGCAGGCAGAGCTGTGCCGGCAGCCACGCCGCCAATCTCCGCGACACCTCCGCGCCAGCTGCCCGCTCGAGCGCCGCGACGCTGCCCGCGGCCGTGGCGCCCAGCCGCGACGCGGCCGGCAGGAAGGCGGCCGGCCGCGGCATCGCCACGAGGGCAAGCAGCGCGAGCACGGCCCGGGCAGCCGCGCGGCAGCGGCGGCGCCGAGCCATGCCGCCCCTGCCGCAGGCGACGGCAGGCCTGGCTCACAAGTGGCTCCTCTGGCGCTTGAGGCCGAGATCGCTACGCAGGGTCGGCGGCTCAGCAGCTGCAGAAGCAAGCCCCCCGATCTTCGATGTGGATGAAAAACGCCGCCGGGCGGCGATCCGAATGGAGCACGACTGCGTGAGCGAGTCTTGCCTGCAAACGCTTGGACTGAACCCATCAGTCTCCTGGATTAGGTTGTCCGCTGACAGCTCATGCCGTGGCTGTGAAACCGCGAACAAAATACTCAAGGCTGTCTTGGGACTCTGGATCTGCACCAACCTCGCTTGCGGCACGCCGTGGCTGGGCCTTGGTTGATGTTGAAAACGCTGGGGGCGTGTTTTCTCCTGCTTTCAACTGTTCGGCTTTCGACATAAACCAAACCATAAAACGACAGCAACCCACAACATAAAAACGGCAGTGAACAACGGATCTGGACCGAAGGCTGCGCCAACGAAACTCACAGAACAGACAACAGAGTGACCCCCTAACAAAATAACAAAGACAGTCGATCGACAAAAATGTCCCCAGCGCTTTTGTCCACCATCTAAGCCCACGGGCTCACCAGGCCCTCGAGCTCGATGCCCTGCCTGCCCCAGCCCGACGCTGGTTTCTAGACGCGTCCCATACGGCGCGAGGAAGGAGGCACTTTCGCCTATCCTCGGCATCGGGACCGCCTGCGGGCCAACGCCTGCGCCCAAACGTCGGATGGAGGAGCCACGCACGTCGGGTGGACGCGGGGCCTTAGATGGTGTCAAAAATGCTGGGTCCCTGCTTCAAGGAACGTTTGTGTCCCCCGCGTTGGGCGTCTCGTTCGCGCTGTTTTCGGTTATGTTCCGTCTTGTGCTGCCGTGCTGTTTCTGTCTTGTGCTGCCGGGTTTTTCCCGCTCTGATAGTTGACATCGAACAAATAACAGCGCTTTCAACCCCAGCGAAGCTCGGGACAGGCAGGCAAGCAGGACGGACGGCCGAGCACAGGACGGATCCGAGGGGCCCTGGCACACCACCCAGCGCTCTGCAGGTGCCCCTGCCCTCCGAGCACGCTGCGAACCGCGCGCGGCCCCTCCGGCATGGGGGGGAGGGGGAGGGCCCGGGGGCTCGCCTCGGGGAGGCCTCGGCAGCCGCGGGGCGGGCGCGATGGCGCGATGCCCTCTCAGAGACGCGTCTCGCCGTTCGGGGATCTTCTGACCCGGGTCAATCCAGACCCGGGTCAGCAGGAAACCAAAAACTGCAATGCAGGGAAACAAACTGCAACGCAGGTCTTCGCAAACCCGGGTCGGCCAATATGCGCGGCCGCCTCGCGGCCACGAGCGGCTCGCTAACCCGGGTCAGCCAGAGGGGGTCTTCGCAGGATCCTGCAGGATCTGGTGCCCTGGCTGACCCCCGTTTGCATTGACCCCCGTCTCAAGGCCCCCGAGCCGTCTCGGGGCAGGCGTCCCCGGCGCCCATGCCCCGGCTTCTGCGGCTGGCCCCGGGAGCCCACCGCCCGAGACGACCCGCCCGAGGAGCCGCCAAGGAGCCCGCGGGGCGTCGAGGTCCGACGCGCGTCCAGGTGGGCAGTCCGAGAGGAGAGCGCGGCAGGTGGGGACCCAAGCCCTAACCCCCCTGCGCCATTCGTATGGGGAAACGGAACAAGTACACCCTGCGAAATGCTGAAGAAATCATGGGTTAAGAAATTCATAGTCTCAGAACTTGAATAAACACCCAACGTTGCCATTAACATCTTAAGATTTACATTGAAACGTTAAGAATAATCGAGACTCTGGCCGAAAACTTAAGTTTTCTTAACCATCACCTAAGGTGTACCGATACTGCTGCTCCCCGGACCTCCCGGGGCGCGTTCTGACCAGAATTCCGAGGCGAATCCAATTCGGCGGCGAGGGCCTCCCAGGAGGCCCCCCCCAAAAATGAAAAAAAGGCAAAAGCAGCGGTAGCGGCACCGCTTCCTTCTCTGAGGGGGCAAAAAACGGAAAAAACCTCAGGGCCCGTTTCCCCATTGCGAGTAAGAGGTGTCGGGCGTCGGCTGCCGGGTCAGACTTCGGTCCCGGGGGGGGGGGGGGCGCCGAGCCCGGGAGCAGCTGGCCGTCCTGCCGCACCCAAACGCCCTGGGGACGGCTGCGGGCCCTCTTCTCGTCCGGAGCCGCGACTGCTCAGCATGCCAAGGGAGACTCTGTCCAGGAGGCCCCTGGCACCCCAGACCAGACATCATGAGTTGGTCTGGCGATGTTGCTTATTTTTCGCTCTTGCACATACATACACACACATATACATATATATATATGTGTGTACACCTACATACCTACATACCTGCATACCTACAGACCTTCCTACCTACCTTCCTACATACATACATACGTACATACTGACATACATACATACGTATATCTATATATATATATATATATATATATATATATATACGCATATGCGTATAGGTAAAGACGTGGCCAAGTATACACGCAAGCAGATCCTGCCCCCCCCCCCCCATCCCCCGTCCCTCCCCATTCCACTGCCCCCTCCGCCTCCGCTGCAATCCTCTACCCAATCCACAGCTTCCCGCGCCCACTCTCTCTTCTCTCCCCGCTGTCCCTACTACCTCTCCTCCTCCACCTCGTTCCCCTTCAATCCCCCACCTCGCCTCCTCCCGATAAGGTGGGGGCGGCAGGACAGGGGACGGGGGGGAGGAGCATGAACTCGGAATCGGCGGTGTACGCATCGCCGACAGATCGGCGATGGGCCCTGATAGCAAAACTGTGCGCTCCGAGTGGCGACGACTAGGAATTCGTGGGTCGATGCTCCCGCTCCCCTGCTACCGCCTTCCCCGTGTCGGCGCCCCTGACATAAATCCTCTCAGGGCTGAATCTAAAACGGTGCTCTTCGTTTTCGTTTTGTTTTCGTTTTCCATCGCTTTGTCTTCCGTCCGCCTGTATCGCAGAACGAGATCGAAACGAAAACGGCCCACGAAATCGCCGCAACACCGCTTAGGTCCAGCCCCGCATCCACTTATGGCCGCCGAGGCGGGCAGGTGGCCGCCTCGACCTCTGGCGGCGCGGCTCGGGCACGGCGTGGGCGCGGCAGAGGACTGTCGGGCAAGGGGGGGATGGCGAAGCGGGGGTTTGAGAATCAGCTCACGTAGCTGATTTTCCCGGCGCCTCCCGGCGCCGGAGGCGGTCACGTACCGAGGAATGGGCCCCTCCGTGGGGCCGTAACCAGCTGCGTGCAGCAGATTTCGCAACTCCCCCTTTCCCCATCCCCCCCGTTCGTCCGGCCCGAGCCCGGCGGGGATCGGAGCGGCAGGGCGCGGCATGGCCGGCTCGCCGGGCTCGCCCCTCGAGCCGCATGCGAGGGCCGAGCGGCTGTGCCTCCACGGCGCCATCGCTGTCCCTCCGTTCCTTGCCCGTACAATTGTGGATGCCATGACAATGGGCACTCTAACAATCCTATCATTGAATTAAAGGTGTGCTTAAAATGTGTAAAACGTGTTCTAAAGATGCTCCAAACATGTGTTTAACATGTTTAAACCATATTTGAATCATCTTTTAGACATCTGGAAATTATTTGGCAGCATGCGCCCTCTCCATCAATCGACTTCCACAACCTTAAAAAGAACTCCTTCCTGTCGCATCCCGAGGCCGCTGAAAAAAAGGCCGGGCGTTTCGCCTGAGACGTCCTCACCATCTGTGAGCCTGAAGCTTGGAAGCCGGCAACGGTTTCACACATGCAGGGCGGGTCGCTGCCGAAATCTGGCTCTTGCCCCAGCGCCGCGCACATTCTTTTCAACCAATGCAAGAGCTTCCCGGAGTGAGGGCGGGTCGCTTCCAAAATGTGGCTCTTGCCTCAGCGCCGCGGATTGAGGGCGGGTCGTTTTCAAAATGTGGCTCTCGCCTTAGCGCCGCGCACATTCGTTCTAAAAGTGCGAAAGGGTTTCACTGAGCAGAGGTGGCACTGTGGTGCGATTCAGGACTGTACGGGCGCAACAGTTCCGCTGATTCGCGGTGTTGACTTCCCAGGAAAGGTGTCTGGCACGATGTCGGATCACCAACATGTACCAGTTGAGGTATCTTGTGACGTTGGACTCCTGAGCACGGTCTTGGCACGTTTCATGATTTTCAGACGTCTGCCCCCCTACGGGGCAATGCACTCAGTGGACATGAACCTGGTAGGGGCCTGTGAATTGGGAGCTTCGAGGGATGGTGAATTCCAACCTCGTTGATGAGTCTTGGGTTTACACTGGTCCTCCTCCTCCTCTTCCTCCTCCTGCTCCTGCTCCTGAGAGGGCCGAGCCTCCTGCCTCTTCCTGCCTCCACCTGCCTCTTCCTCCTCCTGCCTCCTTCTTCTTCTCCTCCTCCTCCTCCTCCTCCTCTTCCTCCTGCTCGTCGTCAACATCCTCATCATCATCAGCATCACCATATTTTTATTATTCTTCTTCATCATCATCATCATCATCATCATCATCATCATCATCATGATCATCAGCATCATCATCATCGTCATCATCATGATCATGATCATGATCATCATCATCATCATCATTACCACCACCATCATCAACATCATCATCACCATCAGCATCACAATCAGCATCACCAGCATCATCATCATCATCAGCATCATCATCATCATCATCATAATCATCATCAGCATCATCACCACCATCAACATCATCATCATCATCAGCATCATCATCAGCATCATCATCAGCATCAGCATCAGCATCAGCATCATCATCATCATCACCACCATCGTTCCTCGTCGTTCCTCGTCATTCCTCCTCGTTTCCCCTCGTTCCTCGCTGTTCCTACTACCCCGTATTAGTTCGCTGCTGCTCCTCATAAACCTCCGCTTCAAATTCTCCTTCATCATCATGAAAATTGGCATCATCAGCATCATCAACACAGTCGTTCCTCGTCGATCCTCCTCGTTGCCGCTCGTTCGCCGTTCCTCCCACTACTTGTTCTACGTCTACTGCTGCTCCTCATCAACCTCCTCACCTCTTCTGATCCGAAATATTACTATGAGTCGTACTCTCCTTCACCATCACATCCATCGTCATAATCGTTCCTCCTCCCCTCCCTCAATCTTCATCGCTACTTCTGATCATGGTCATCATGTCAATTCTGCTCCTCGCGCCTCTGCTCCTCCTGCTCCTGCTCGTGTCCGCCGTGAGCGCGCTGCTCGCCCAGACCGGCACCTCCCCCGAGGCCGCGCGGCGCCTGCGCGGCGCCTGCGCCCCCCAGCTCGGCCCGGCCCGCCTCGCGGCAGGCCACCGGAGCGCCGAAGCGGCAGCGGCAGGCAGACCGACCAGCTCCCCCTCCCAAGGGAACACGTGTAGCCGCGCCGTTCGCTCTGAGCGCGCCCGAGCAGACGAAGCCGGCACCGCGGCGAACCCCACGGCGAACCTCGCGTCCGAGGCCGAGCTTGCCCTGCTGGCCGAGGCGCCCTCCCTGAGCCTAAAACGTAAGGCCGCTCGTCGGAACGAACGGCGCGGCGACATGCTTCGTGTTTTTTGTTCGGCGACGTACTTTGTGCTGTTTTTGGGGGAGGGGGGGGCTCTTTAGGCCTGACGAGCTTGCCAGCGCCTCAACCTCGTCAAGCCCCTTTCGCCGCGATCCGCGCGCGAAGCTCGTCGAGACACCTGCGCGGCGCCGTCGATGCAGGCATCTGCCGCCTCCTCGGAACGGCGACGTCTGCACGGGCCCCTCTAGCGAAACAAAGAGTGGCATAAACATAAACAGAAACTTTCGGAGGTTCCCGCGGAGTTCTCGGATCGGCGCTGGGGCCTCCTGGAGGCGCCTCCAGCGTCCTCCCTGGCGCGCTCCGCGCGCCAGGTAGGGGGGGGTCCAGCGCCGATTCAAGATATCTGCGCGGACCTCTGGATTGTTATGTTTATGTAATCGCTTAGTTTTCTACGTGCACCCCGACCCTGCCGAAGAGGGCGGCGCGAACGAGGGGATGGGGCGAGGTGGGCGGGAGGGGGGGGAGGGCGTCTAAAAAGGCAGGAAGGCCTGAGATGGATCGGATCGCGAAGTCGGATCGGACAGGAATGGATCGGATCGCCAACGAATCGTCCCGAATCTGATCGAAATCGGGTCGTCGCTCCTGACACCAGCTGCTCCCAGCCGATGCTGGTGAACCAAATCGAATCGAATCGCACCGGAATCGCGGCCCCAGCAAGCGACTCGAATCGAATCGCGGCCCCAGCCGGAGAGTGGACGGCCCTGACAGCGGGCCTCTTGGAAGGGATCGGCAGCTTCTGGGAAGGCCTCGCTCGGACGTCCATTCCCCGTGCACTGTTTAATCCCGTGCGTTTTTTGTTGCTTCGCAGGGTGGTCAAGACGCTCCTCGGTGGTCCTCGCCGAGGAAAAAACGTCCGAGCGATGCCGGGCCCTTTGGAGGGCGAGGGGGCCTTGCGAGAGGCTCTCTGCCATCCTTAGACGAGCGCGCTCCACTACTCGTACAGTAACTATTCGCAAATGGCCTGGATCCCCCGCGGGGGATCTACGAGAGATTCCATCGAAGCAGTCGTGTTTTTCAGAAATTTGCGAGTGGGCACTTTGCGAGTAGTGGAACGCGCTCGGTGAATCTTCGACTGCCGCTCCCCCATCGACCCCCCCGTGTGCGCAGCCCGTTCTGCCAGGCACGGGAAGGGGGCTTCGCGTGAAGCCGCGAGGCGACGGCAGCAGCAACCATCGGAGCAACAGCCGCGCTCGCCCCTCACGCAAGAGTGGCATCAATGATAGCAGCAGGAACAGCAGCAGCAATAGCAGCAGCAATCGCAGCAGCAGCAATCGCAGCAGAAACAGCAGCAACAGCAACAGCAGCAACAGCGGCAACAGCAGCAGTTGCAGCAACAGCAGCAATGGCAGCAGCTCAAGGCTTCTGCTTGCCTCATGCGCCCATCACGGTACATCCCGCCGGCAGGGCGGATAGCAACAGGAGACCGAAACCTCCCGACCCAGATACTTCCAACTTCCACGGAGGAGGCCCTGCACGCACCTCTTCCGAGGCAGTTGACCACCTTCGGCCCAGGTAATACAGGGGCGACGCAGGCGGCCCAATGGCTCTGGGGGACCTCGCAGTCTCTGGGAGAGGCCTCAAGCCCCCCAGGAGAGGCCCAGAGCGTCTCCGAGAGAGTCCAGGCCTCTCGGAGCAGCCTGCGGACCTCTAAGGAGAAGCCTCAGAGCCTCCAAGCGCCCAGGGCGTAAAAACCATGGTAGCTCCTGTAGCTGTTTTTGACCTTCCAGAACATCCAGCGCATGGGCTCCAGCCCAACCCACGGCCCACCCCGAAAATGCTTCCCCCATGGGATGTTCCGTCCCGGATGGCTTCCAAGATGGCCCCAAAAAAGACTCCAAGATGGTCCCTGCGAGACGGTCAAGATGACTCTAAATAACCCCAAGAGAATCTGAGATGACCCGAAGACGCCCCCGAGACGGCCCAGGATAACCCCCCAATATGGCCGCAAGACGACCCAAGATGCCCCCAAAATCCCACAAGAGGACACGAAGAGGACCCCCACGAGGCCCCCGGAGAGCAAATATGATTGGTGTCGCATTTGTCCCCCAACACGCTTAGCATTGTCGCAGTATCAGCTCTCTGGAACCTCAAGACGGCCCAACATGGCCCCGATACGGCTTCAAGGCAACCATAAGACGACCCAAGATGCCCCCAAAATGCCCAAAGAGGGCACGAAGAGGACCCGCACGAGGCCCTCGGAGAGCAAATATGATTGGTATCATTTTTGTCCTCCAGCACGTTTAGCATTCTCGCAGTACCAGCCCTCTGGAACCCCAAGACGGCCCAAAATGGCCCCGATACGGCTTCAAGGCAACCCTAAGACGGCACAGGAGGCCCGAAGAGAATCCAAAGATGCCACTAAAGAGCCCCAAAAGGTCCCCACTTCGCGGAGACATCTGGGTTGAGAAGGGGGGGACGGCTTCAGCTCCACAGAGGTGAGATCTGCTTCCTCAGTACTGAGCTTTCCAGATCGGGATGGGCCGAAATTGATCTTCGAGGATGCCCCCCCTCCCCCATCTCCCCCCATGGTTGCGCTTGCTTGTCCAAGCGCCTCTGCGCATGAAAGCTCGTGCCCATCCCAAGGCAATTTGCCGATGTGTGGCCCTTCTGGCACAAATCCTTGCAGGGACGGCATGCATTCGCTGGCCCAGGGGAGCACTGAGGGTGCCTTCTCGGAGCAAACCAATGTCGACCTTGATGTCATATCGCTCGCCTGCTCCGTTCAGGGCGAGGTGAGGATCGTTGGCGAGACTATGATGTCGCTACCTGGTAAGGAGGTCGTCCTCACCAGATATGTGAGTGAGTGAGTGGGGAGGAGCAGCAGCAGGGCGTGGGGAGGAGAAAGTGGAGGAGCCCAAGCAGGAGAAGCACGCAGGAGAAGTGAGTGAAAAGGAAGGGGACCTGGGAGTATGAGGTAGAGGGACACCAGGAACAAGAGAAGGAGGAGGAGTCTGCCAGCCCCTCTTATCTGAGGAAGGGAAGGCGCGCGAGATGATTGGCCGTACCCTCCCCAGAATGCCGTTTGAGGGGAGAGATGTACGAACTCCCTGACGCATCTCGCGGGCCCTCTGGACCCCCGAATGCATTCTCGGACGCCTCCGACATGCACAAGATGGTCTCCAAGGCTGCTCCTGAAGAGCTCATAATCAGCCTAGGGGCCGCACGACGGCTCATGACACGGAGATTCCCAAGGATGTCTGCCAGAGGCCCCCTCGAATGTGTGCCCGATGAGTTTTGCCTCGAACTGCCTGACTACACCCTTCACCTTCGCAGAGGTCAAGCCGCACTGCCTCATTCGAGCTGGCAGCGCGAACAAAAAGCGACGGGGATGAGTAGTCGGCGGTGGACAAACCTCCCTTTAGACCTCCCTTTAGTGAAAACGGCCCAGGACCGAAACCGACGGACCTGGACCCGCAAAAATGACGGCCGCGACGCCCCCTCGCGAACCGAAAACGGCCAATTCGCGAATCGACGTGTCAGGGTAGGAGGTCTATCAACCTCCGAAGTAGGAGAAAGCGGCGAAGGAGGAGACTCACGGGCACTTGGGCTTGTTCGGATCGGTCTTGTCGCCGAAGGTGTCCTCGTAGTGCTCGTTGACGGAGAAGCACAGCTCGTACTTGTCCCCACCCTCGTTGCCGCACGCCCAGTGCCAGTTGCTGGTGTCAGTCGGGCTCGGGACACCCATCACCTCTGGGATTAAATCGGGCCTGTCCCCCTACAGGGGGATTTTGACCGATAAATTAAACATGCCCCAAAAATACTCCCAGAATGCTAGAAAATAGTACAAAAATAGTCCCCACATTTTTTCTTACTATTTTTGAATGTTTGAATATTCACTCTGTAGAGGGACAGGCCCGACTTAACTTTAGGAGGACAGGGCATGGCAAAACAAGCATAAAACCTGGGAGTTCCGCGCGGATTTCTCGGACCGGCGCTGAACCCCCGTCCCTGGCGCGCGGGGCGCGCCAGGGGCTGCGCCCGAGGCGCCGCCAGGAGGGCCCAGCGCCGATCCAAGCAATCCACGCGGAGCTCCGAAAGCCTATGTTTATGCAGTTGTCTCGTCCTCGAACCTCGAAGAAGGAGTTGGTGGCGTAGCAGATGCACGTCTTGTACATCGCGCAGGAGCCCGTGGCCGCATACTTGCAGGCGCTGCACGCCGTGCCCTTGTCTGCGAACGCACCGTCCTCCGCCTTGGCCGGCAGCTCCGGCACCGCGGGCTCGGGCGGGGGGTGCGTCTCATCCCGGCGACCGGCGGCATGCACGCGGAGGGCCCGCTCGGACGTCGCCGGCGACAGCATGGCCAGGGCCAGCAGCGAGACGGCGAGCACGCACGAGGACGCCATGGTGCAGGG